ACATAGGAATCTGGATGAAGAATGGTTTAAATTAAATAGGGGTTTTTTCACTTTTAATGGACTAGGTAATTACCCAAATCATCAAACAAAGAGTAACTGTGACTTCTAGTTTTTAAACAGGTGCAAAACAGGTTTAGGATTGCCAAAAACATGCATACACTGCAGAATAATGAAAGCTACACAAACATGGGCTTTTCTCAGCAATGTCAGGGTAACACATCTGAGCATGGTGAGTCAATGGGTACTTTGCTACACTCTGCCCCACATGAACTTGTTGTTCATGACAAGTTTGCAGACCATTCAAATTCATCTGGTGCAAAGTATAAATAGAGTCAAAGTTAGGTCTCTGGAAATACCTCAGGGTTGGAGTCTTGGTTCCATCATCCAGGAAAAGAGGTGACACACCTCTGTCCTCAGACAGTGGTTCAAGGGGGCTTCTCCTGGAAGTCTTGGAGATAATGGTTGAAGAGCAGGAAGCATCCACCACTGAACCTCTGGTTGAAGAGATGTTTGTGGCTCACAAATTTGGACAGGTTCCTCTTAAACCCATCTATGAGCCTCCCTGTAAGACCAGAGGGGTTTGCAAAGTTTACTGGTAGGCATTTAGGTTTTTTTTTTTTTTTAGGTTGCTTCTCGCTGGATGTCTTAGTCTGGTAAACCTGGAATGAGATGTTATAGGACAGCTGCAAGGACTTCCTCCCAGGGAGTAAGCAATTGTCAGGTTTATCATATACACACTCATCTGCAAAACTATACACATAGCACAGTTTATACATCTAGAGTGAAAACTGTATGTGCCTTAGCATGCATGGACATTTTGGGACCTATTTGTCTAGCTGTGCAGGAGTCTAGAAGATTGATGAGTGCTCCTCAGCCCATATTACATCTGCTTCTGTGTTCTGACCCAGCTTGTTTGACTCCACTAGCTCCTAAAACCCTGTTGCTGAGTCCAGCTTGTACCCGAACTTCACTCCTGCCTGCTTTACCAGTACCTTCTCTGCTCGCCCCAGGTAGAAGGCAGCATCAGCATATCCAAACAACCACCAACCAGAGACCACTCCAAAGTCCTCTTAGTAGAAAGCCCCCCCAGAATTGATGTCACAGGAATGCATTTCTGTGAGAACCTCCCCTTCCTGAGGAGGCTGAGGAAGGAGAGGTTCTCCCCAAAACACATTCTTGTGCAACTGTGATGTAATTTTCTTTCTGGTCAAGGCTCCCCACCAAGCAGACTTTTGAGTGATCTCTGGATGGCAGACACACTCCCAGCAGAAGCTGTTTGACAGGCATTACTCTGTTCACTGGCCAGATGGCGAACTCCATACTGGGACATCAGATTCCTCCAAACTCTGCTGTTATGCAGATAGCCTTCTGATGTTTGTGATATTTAATACTTTCTAATATTAACATTTTTAACAACTACTACACTATTGGCCCTTCTCCACTGCTAATTTTCTGTTTGTCTTTTGAACATTTTGTGGACGTTCCAGTGTCTCACTTCTATGTGGATTCTTTCTGCCACAGAGAGGGCCCAGGCCCTTGAAAGTACAATCTGCCAGGAAACTGACTCATTGGAGAACATTTTTTCTGTGGTACAGTGTGGCATCCCTTGGGATGAGACAGGACCACTTTGTAAGTAGTTTGTTAGTTTTTGGTGTAGGGATCTGCTGCCCTCTACTGTCTGTATTTGTAAATGCTTGTAAATACCTGTAAATATATTATGCATGCACTTCCTGTCCCTGGGTTGTGGGGTAGACATGTTTACGCCTAAAATGTTTGATTTGTTTCAGATGCATTCATTCACTGAAGAATTTTGTTCATTATAGTCGTAATGTTGAACTGATTAATTTTTGGGATTCATTTAGTTATATATGACATTTTGCAGTTTTTAGGAGATTGGTATATATTCAGGTGTTTGATATTCAAATATCAAAACAATTCGGAAGGATTTGATATTTTCTTATGCAAGGGAAGCAATAATGCAAAATTGTAAATAGAATTTTTCAAACCTAAGATTTACGTTAGATTGTGCAACTGAACTGACTGTGACAATTACAAATTCAATTTAAATCACAAATTTACTCAAATCTGATTTCTTGAAAATGGAATTCATTCATTGGGCCTGAACTACTATCAAATCAAGTGACATCATTCAAATGAAACAAATGCATTAGTTAAATTCATTATAACATTATTTTTTTTTTCATTTACATTCGTTACTTTGTTCATTTTGAGATTGGTGTAAATCCGAATCTTCACAATTTGTGTGGTAAAAAAAAACCTCAGAAGGAGGAAGTGGAGAGAAAGGGACAAAGCCTTAGACACATGTCCTGTCCAGGGGAGTTGCTGGTGTTGTATTTTCACCCAGACCAGAAGCAGAGACTATATGCAAGTATTCCTATGTTGTGATGGTATAACTGCAGCTGCCCACAGTTTCTTGAGTGGGTATCTGAATCCGTTTGATAGACAGAGACATCTCTATCCTATTGTTATTATCTCACAAGCATAGTGCCAGATAGCTAGGTTTGTGCTACTGTATGTGTGTAGAGGTCACCTTCCTGTATATTAATGAGCTTGTTTATCACATAGAGTTTATATGCAGCTCCCATTATTTTAGTTAACCCTATCCTTTCTGGTCAAGGATTCTATAGTTAATTTTAGCTTAGGGTTCAACAACCAGCATAGACTAGAGCCACGTTAGGTAACCGATGGCCACTTCTGGTAGTTAGAGGTAGTTAGATGTCAGTTTAGATACTACTAGGGACTAAAGCGGAGAATAGACTGACTCTGAGTTCCAATGCCACACCACAGTTTCTGCGTGTGAGAAGCTTCATTCCAGGCTGGTGGACAATGGCTGGAAGATTTCCCCATCACTGCTGATCTTGTCTTCAGGTCTCCAACACAAAGATGGATGCCACATCACCATCATCCTCAGGGGCCCCTGCAACTGAACTTTGTTGCAACAGTCATCTGGAGATACTGTTATTAAAAACTATATTGTATATACCAAGGTATAGGTGCACAATTCCACTAGGAATCTTGTTGGGCCCTTTCTGATATGACCTGTTTATACATTTAATGTATGTATTATTATTAACATTGTCTTATATTATACTAGTGTGAATTTATATACTTTTGGTTAATATTATAAGCTGGGTGCAGTAGTTCCTCTGTTGCCAATTCCTTTGATTAGAATATTGGTTGATTTCCTAGGAAGGGAATCCCCTCTGTTCACAAAAGCCATGTGCGGGGTGGAAGAACTGCCAACTTTATTATCAATCCCACTCTTCCAGTTAGGGAAGGTTCTGGCTCTCTTGTCTACCTAGAGGTTTAGTGCAATATCTTGTTTGGGGATGACCAAAAAGAAGGATACTTTGGAAATAGCTTTCATCTTTCTCTGGGACTGGGCCACCACTGCAACTGTCTCACTTCTATTAGGCGACCAACCACTGGATCCTCTCTTTGATTCTCCACACACATATACTGTACTCTTCCTTTACATAAATGAAGTTCACTTGAGGCCAGGGGCGGACTGACTATTTGGAAACTCGAGCACTGCCCGAGGGCCCGGGGGTCAGTAGGGGGCCCCATGAGATGCCCCTGGTACCTTTTTCATAGGCTTTTTTGAGTTTGGGCAAGGACATAGGGACCCCATAATCCCCTATTGCCCAGGGGCCCCATGAGTTGTCAGTCCGCCCCTGCTTGAGGCCTACTCTTAGGCCTCCTTTCAGTCAAGTCAGGGATTTTCTCTCTTCAGCTTCTTCATCCACATCTCAGCGGGGCCTGGCTAGTGGGTACGTTGACACGAAGTGTGCACCTTGTTGCAGGGTGATCATTCAAGGAGAATGATATTGAGCAAGTGTTTGTAAAGAGATTTTCTAAGGGTCATGGACATACAGAGTTATCTGACCCAATATAATATTTTGGAATGTTATGATGATATGTGTGAAGGCCAGTCAAGTAATATGGTATTCATCTAATTTAAAAAAAAAAAATGTATAAAACATTAAAATCAAAGTAGATAAAAACTATTTGTTTCTAGTTTTAGATAGTGTGTAGATGGGTTTGAACCCCTGTCTGATTTGTCCCTGTTAGAGAGATTCCATTCTTAACTAGTCTTGGAGACCACTTTCAATGAAACAGAAAATGTGGCAACATCCTAAATTTTGAGTTGTTACCAGAACAGGAATAGAAGGAAAATCTTCTAATGGGGAAACTTGTTTCTGTAACAGCTATATGAATTATCTTACTTTGGATAGATTTTAGCTTTAGATATACTTTAAGCATGAATAAGTGCTAGGACAAGATTTTGAAGGTATGTCTTTAAAGCGCCATTAAGTCCAAAAGCAAAACATTTATTATATTGAAGCTTAGCATTTCTTAGATGGGGTGGCTGCATTAATTTTCTTTTCAGGCTTTGTTTCTTCTATTTTCAGCTGGTGATTCAGCCAGTAAGTCTATTGTTTTTCAAAAGAGCAAGCTCTCCAGCAGTTACAGATAAAATAACAATTGGCCAAAAGTGCAGAATCCCTATCAATATCTAGACAAAAAGGAATTGGGCTTTTTGAGGCACAAACCTTCTGTTTTAAAATACATCTTCTTTTATTGTATTACTGTATTTCTACCATATAAAAAGAGTGTAAAATCACTCATCTTTTACAAAACACATGCAAAACAATAAAGTAGAATTAAATAAAACACCTACCGTATTTTCGCTCCATAAGACGCACTTTTTTTCCCCCCAAAAAAGGGGGGAAAATATCAGTGAATCTTATGGAGCGGATATGCAGCGGCTGGTCTGATATTTCCACCTTGTCAGAATACTGGGCTGGCCGCTCAGCTCTTCTTTGTAGTAGGACCTTACTTGTTCCTCGTTCCAGCGCTGTACAGTCTTCCCGCACAGGCATCTTCAGTGTGGGCACCTGGCTGTGACAGCCGGGTGCCCACTACACATGACAGGTCCCAGAAGATGCCAGGCCATTCACAAAGCGCAGCGCTTCTCGCGCATGTGCAGTGGGCACCCTGCTGTCAGCTGGGTGCCCACACTAAAGGGAGGACAACTCTACAGAAGTGGGAGCGGGTACCTGTAAAATTCAGGCACCCGCATCCCCTCCCTCCCCAAAGGTCTGCAGTCTCTTGGTCATCCCCCGTACTGTCTGCAGTCTCTTGGTCATCCCCCTACTGTGTCCGCAGTCTCTGGTCATCTCCAGCACTGTGTCCGCAGTCTCTGGTCATCTCCAGCACTGTGTCCGCAGTCTCTGGTCATCTCCAGCACTGTGTCCGCAGTCTCTGGTCATCTCCAGCACTGTGTCCGCAGTCTCTGGTCATCTCCAGCACTGTGTCCGCAGTCTCTGGTCATCTCCAGCACTGTGTCCGCAGTCTCTGGTCATCTCCAGCACTGTGTCCGCAGTCTCTGGTCATCTCCAGCACTGTGTCGCAGTCTCTGGTCATCTCCAGCACTGTGTCCGCAGTCTCTGGTCATCTCCAGCACTGTGTCCGCAGTCTCTGGTCATCTCCAGCACTGTGTCCGCAGTCTCTGGTCATCTCCTGTACTGTGTCCGCAGTCTCTGGTCATCCCCTGTACTGTGTCCACAGTCTCTGCTCATCTGTACTGTGTCTGCAGTCTCTGGTCACTGGTCATCCCCTGTACTGTGTCCACAGTCTCTGGTCATCCCTTGTACTGCGTCCGCAGTCTCTGGTCATCCCTGTACTATGTCCGCAGTCTCTGGTCATCTCTTGTACTGTCTGGACACAGTACAGGGGATGACCAGAGACTGCAGACAGTACAAGGGATGACCAGAGACTGCGGACACAGTACAGGGGATGACCAGAGACTGCGGACATAGTACAGGGGATGACAAGAGACTGCGGACATAGTACAGGGGATGACCAGAGACTGCGGACATAGTACAGGATGACCAGAGACTGCGGACATAGTACAGGAGATGACCAGAGACTGCGGACATAGTACAGGAGATGACCAGAGACTGCGGACATAGTACAGGAGATGACCAGAGACTGCGGACATAGTACAGGAGATGATCAGAGACTGCGGATACAGTACAGAAGACCAGAGACTGCAGACACAGTACAGGAGATGACCAGAAACTGTGGACACAGTACAGGGGATGACCAGAGACTGCACAGTTTCTGGTCATCTCCTGTACTGTGTCTGCAGTCTCTGGTCTTCTGTACTGTATCCGCAGTCTCTGATCATCTCCTGTACTATGTCCGCAGTCTCTGGTCATCTCCTGTACTGTCCGCAGTCTCTGGTCATCTCCTGTACTATGTCCGCAGTCTCTGGTCATCTCCTGTACTATGTCCGCAGTCTCTGGTCATCTCCTGTACTATGTCCGCAGTCTCTGGTCATCCCCTGTACTATGTCTGCAGTCTCTGGTCATCTCCTGTACTGTCCACAGTCTCTGGTCATCTCCTGTACTGTCCACAGTCTCTGGTCATCTCCTGTACTATGTCCGCAGTCTCTGGTCATCCCCTGTACTATGTCCGCAGTCTCTGGTCATCCCCTGTACTATGTCCGCAGTCTCTGGTCATCTCCTGTACTGTCCACAGTCTCTGGTCATCTCCTGTACTATGTCCGCAGTCTCTGGTCATCTCCTGTACTATGTCTGCAGTCTCTTGTCATCCCCTGTACTATGTCCGCAGTCTCTTGTCATCCCCTGTACTATGTCCGCAGTCTCTTGTCATCCCCTGTACTATGTCCGCAGTCTCTGGTCATCTCCTGTACTATGTCTGCAGTCTCTGGTCATCTCCTGTACTATGTCTGCAGTCTCTGGTCATCTCCTGTACTATGTCCGCAGTCTCTGGTCATCTCCTGTACTAGGTCTGCAGTCTCTGGTCATTTTCTGTACTATGTCTGCAGTCCATTGGTTCAGAATATTTTTTCTTGTTTTTCACCTCTAAAACTAGGTGCGTCTTATGGTCAGGTGTGTCTTATGGAGCAAAAAATACGGTATATTACACACCAAAAGGATGACCCATCTCCAACATCATGTTTCGTTTCAGAAATATAAGGCTCAGTGTGTTTGCTGGATGTAGTCCATTCATTACTTTTTAGAATGACATTCTCCCAGGCTAGGCAAGGGGAGAGAGAGACCAGAATGAAGACCCAAATGGAGAACCAAACTAGCAAGGACAACCCCTGCCCCGACACATCAGCACCTCCAAAATCAGTAACTTCAAACAATAATAGATCGCAATAGTCTTCAAAAACAGTCCAAACCCAATGAACCCAATGAAAGTTCCCCTTACTTCTGGCGCAGAAGATATTGCTATCCCGACACATGTGGTATTTGGTGAAGTTCGTGCACATGTTATCCCAGAGTGTTGTGCTTTGGAGGAGCTGATGTGTTGTGGTGGGGCTTGTCTATGCTAGTTTGGTTCCCCATTTGGATCTTTGTTCTGGGGTTTCTCTCCCACCCTTGCTTAGCCTGGGAGAATGTAATTTTAAAAAGTAATGCACGTATTGCTCCTGACATTATAGTCCTGAAATTAAACATTTGATGATGGAGATGCATCATCCCCTTGTTTAACCACTTGCACTCCTGAGGATTTACCCCCCTTAATGACCAGGCCTCTTTTTGCTAGTCGGCGCTGCACTAATTCAACTGATAATTGCGCGGTCATACAATGCTGCACCCAAACTAAATTTACGGCCTTTTTTTCACACAAATAGAGCTTTCTTTTGGTGGTATTTGATCACTTGTGCGCTTTTTATTTTTCACGCAATTTGAAGAAAAACTATTTTTTACTTTCAGCTATAAAAAATATATAGCAAACTCAAAGTTAGTTATAAATTGTATTCTGCTACATGGATTTTGGGGTCCTGTACTAGACTGCCAAAACGTCTCTCATATGTGGTACCCCCATACTCAGGAGAAGTAGCAGAATGTATTTTGGGGAGTAATTCCACATATACCCATGGCATGTGTGACCAATAAATCAAGTGACAATTTTGTGTAAAAAAAATAAATACATATTTTTTTGTCATTTTCCAAAAACTTGTGGTAAAAAAAATAAATTCTTCTATTGATTCAACATGCCTCTCAGCAAATAATTTGGGGTGTCTACTTTCCAAAAAGGGGTCATTTTGGGGGGGGTGGGGGCATTTTATGCCCAGCATTAGAAGTTTATGCCACACATCACTCACTCTTCTAACCACCTGAAGATCAAGCCTTTTCTGACACTTTTTGTTCACATGAAAAAAATTTGTATTTTTTGCTAGGAAATTAATTTAAACCCCCAAAAACATTATATATTTTTTAAATCAGACACCCTAGTGAATAAAATGGTTGGTACCACAATTTTTTATGGCACATGGTACTCGCGCAGCAATTTTTCAAAAGCAATTTTTTTTTTTTAAAATACCCTTTTTTTACTTTGAATGCAGAAAAACAATATATTGGCCAATTATTTGGTAAGATACAAAAGATGATGGTATGCCACGTAAATAGATACCAAACATGACATGCTTTAAAACTGCGCATGCCCCGAGAAATGACGACAAACTGCATACATTTTTAATATCCATAGGCAATTCTTTAAAAGCCTTTAAAAGCTACCATTAAAGATTTACAGAGGAGGTCTAGTGTTAGAATTACTGCCCTTGATCTGATGTTCACGGCGATACCTCACATGTATGGTGCATTCGCTGTTTACATACTGCCACAGGATCAACGCTTGTACACACAGGTGTGCGTGCATGGGAGGGGCGAGGTTGTTTTTTTTTTTTTTGTCATTTTGATTTTTTAAATTATTTTTACACTGTACCTTTCATTTATTTTTTTTTTTATCACTTTTAATGCTATAACAGGGAATGCAAATATTCCCTATAACTTCAATGGGCATTGTCATGTATTCTTTTTTGAGAAATCTGGGTTCTATCAGATTCTAGATATCTCTCTCTGCCCTTACATTATCTAATCAAACCAAAATCGGTGTGATCAGATGCTTTGCCAGTTTACAAATGGCGCTGCCTATATCGTGCGAAACTGAAGTGATGAAATGCTCGTAGCTTCCAAATTCTTAGACTATAGAGATGATTGGCACCACTCTGGTCTCCAATCAGCTCTATGATCAGCTGGCAGAAACACCGGCTGCATTCTCAGGTTCCCCCGATGGCACGAGACTGTCCGAGAAGGCCGTGGAAGGCAGCAGGGGAGGGGGGCATCATCTCCCGCTGCTTGTAAAAGAAATCCTGCAGCTAATTGGCCACTAGGATTGCTTTTACATGAAAGCTGATCGCCGGCTGAAAAAAAACAATACCAGGATGATGCCTGCAGCTGTAGGCATCATCCTGGTATAACCAGTCAAAGTCCAATGATGTACCAGTACGTCGCTGGTCCTTGTTGGGTGTGGGCTGAATGAAAAAAAAGAGAAGAAATTTCTGTCAGATAAAGTGTGTGGTATGCCCACCATTAGAATATACCACCCTGCATCCACCCACTTCTAATGGTGGGCACACATTAGGTCACACTTTGCCACATGCACCAGTTCCAAGATTGTGCAAATGTCTAAATAGTGGAACACTTGAATAAAAATTGTCCACGTATAAGTGGTACCCCATATGGAAAAAGGATGACACCAAGTCCCAAACTGTCTTGCCACTGCTCCCCATGTAGTCTGGGCATCCGGGGGGCTCCACGTGACTATCATTTCCCTCGTAAATCCGAAACTTATAAGTATAGCCTGTTGTCCTCTCACAGGTCTTTACATCTTGACCCCATATCTGGCACGCTTCCTGGGGAGAAATTATTTGAATGCAAGGCGGCCAGGAAAATTAATGAGGGACTCATCAATGCAGATGTTTTGCTGGGAGTATATAGACATCTGCAAATGTTTAGCTAAGGTGATTTGCGAGGGGCTAAATTTTGTGGAGCTGGTCAAATTCAGGGTTACCCCGAGGATGACAGAGTGTGTTGTTGAAATGCATAAAACATGTTATACTCTCATATTTATGCCTGGCCATAGCAGCAGAGAACACGGCATTTGATGAATTGGGTCTGTGGACCAATACAACTGGAATTCATTTCTTTTAGTAATGCCCATGTTGAGGGTTTGGCCCCAAAAAAATGTAAATTCGGAAACCGTAATGATTTTTCATGCGACTGGTCTGGCAAGGTTTGAGTTTTGGTTGGCGGTGATAAAATGTTGTGCATATAAATTGCTTTGATCCACAATCAACGCATACAGTAATTCTGTGAAAAACAGCTCCAAAAATCAAGGGGAGTAGTTAAATTTGCTATTTCCACTTGAATTCCAGGTTGGGCAGTGAATGGGGGAAGTACGGGTGCTGCAGAATTTGTGGGCTGCCAATTGGGATTTGCAAGCACATCCGGAAGGGATACTAGGAGCTCTATGGGCCTGTGTACGAATGTTTGGTGGCTGCGGGACAATACTTGTGCTTGCCACCGCACCGGCTTGTACTGGACGTATGGGACTCGCCACGTCACCAGGTCATACTGCAGTGCTGGTATTATTATTATTATACAGGATTTATGGCGCCAACAGTTTGCTCAGCGCTTTACAATATAACGGGAGACAATACAGAACAATACAGTTCAATACAAGAGGGTTAGGAGGGCCTGATCCTGGGAGCTTACAATCTAAGAGATACGTGAAAGACCAAGATGTACTAGACCGCTGGTGCTCGCCAGTTCACCAAAAGGTAGATAGCGCGGCACTAGTACTGGCATTCTGCTGCATATGAGAGTCCTCAAAATTTACTGACAAGTGCTAACAGAGATCAGGCCTGATTCTGCAAACACTGCGGTTTTGTGTGCAATGTATCAAGTGACAGGGACCTACTGACACTGCACTTGCTGGGGCAGAAGGGGGGGGGGGGGGGGGTTGTGCGTAGGGGCTAAATGCAGATGCTGGCAGGTGCCGGGGCTGATCCTACTAACGCTGCATTTTTGGGGACGCTATATTAATGTGAAAAACGCTGGTATAGTGCTGACCTGATCAAAGATATTGATCCGTTCAGACACTATACTAGCAATGGAGGATTATTGTGCATGAGCATGTTCCTGGCAATCAAGGGGTTAAATGTGATGACTGGTGTACTAACGGGCAATCTGACGCTATCTGGGAGGGGTGTGAAAACCATGGGAGCGCAAATAATGTGTATATATATATATATATATATATGTGATTTTTGTGCACCCGTGCCACCCTGTAGCAGTATTTCTGCTATAGGGTGGTCAGGAAGCCGTTACAGAAGAGGTTTGTGTTACGGCGCTGTGTTACTTTAACTGACAATTGCGCGGCCATGCAACACTGCACCCAAATTAAATTTACGTTCTTTTTTTCCCACAAATTGAGCTTTCTTTGGGTGGTATTTGATCGCCTGTGCGTTTTTAATTTTTTGCGCTATAAAAAAAAATGCCGACAATTTTGAGGAAAAAAAACAATATTTTGGACTTTTTGCTATAAAACATGTCCAGTAAAAAAATGTAAAAATAAAATTTCGTCATAAATTTCGGCCAAAATGCATTCTGCGACATGTCTTTACTAAAAAAAATACCAATATGTGTAAATTAATTGGTTTCCGTGAAAGTTCTA